GCGGCTGTGCCCGCAAAAAAGACGAAGCCGTGGGATATGATGAGCAGCAGTAAGCTATTAAATTTACGGCCGTTTTTTTCCTCTTTCTCTCTCTCTCTCCATGCAGCAGCATCAAAATTAACAAACGCGCCGAGATAGTTAGCTATGCTTGAAAACAATTCAAGGTTCTCGTCCAACTGAATAGTCATGAAAGCGCGAGCACGAGAGGAAAAAAAAAGGCCACGCAGAATTTGTCGTCTGCGCAAGTGACAACCACGCATAGGCGGAGATAATTATCAGGGACGTTCGGTTCAAATCTAACGAATTTCCAGCGAAGATAGATAGCCCTCCTTCTCGTCGTCTCGTCAGCAAGTTTTAACGCAGTAGCAAAAAGTCGTCGCCGCGTCTCTCTCTCTCTCTCTCTCTCTCTCTCTCTCTCTCTCTCTCTCTCTCTCGCTGGGTAACAGGTGAACGAGCGAAAGAAAGCAAGAAAGTCCGGCGAAACGACTATCGCGATTATCGAGGGGAGAGGCTTGGCCATCGCGCGCCGGCGGAAAAAAAAAAGTAAAGAAGCGCGCGCGCCGTTTATTGTCGCGTTAGTCGCGCTTGGACGAGTCCCAGGAACGACGATGACGGCCGTGCTTCCGATTCTGTGGCGATCGTGCGCTGCAAGTTGGCGCGCTGCACTCGCCGTCGCTCGCCGTGCTTTCGAGCGCGATCTCTATCGCGTCGTGTTTTTTCTTCGTATTTCTTTCTTTTCCGAGCGCGCGACCAGCGAGTGCTCTTCCGTGACGCCTCGCGCCCGAGCACTCGTCGCGGAATCGTCACCGCGCAGTCTTTCGGATCAGCATTAACTGCACAGCTGCGAGAACGAACGCGGTCGGCCGGAAATTTTAAAACTAGTAGCCAGACAATTCAATATTTGCCGTTAGTTATATTCTCATTGGAAGGCGATGACGCGGGCCTTCCGAAATGAAACCACGCGCGCTCATCGAATTTTCACGAAGACGGACTGACCTCTGTGAATTGGGAACAGGCGCTCGTTCTCTCGTCCGATGCGTTGACTGGTTGCTACGCGACGCGCAAACCCGGCAAAAGTAGACTTGTTTAAAGGCGATGCGCCGATGAATCGTACACGCAAAACGATGTTGCTTAGCTGCGGGCCGAGTCGAACAACGCGCCCCGGCCATTCAAGCTGCAGCTTAGGTGACGAAGGCGACGCAGAGCGAACCAAGAAGGCGAAGCTCGGCCGTGGCACGCTAATTTGACGAGGGACGAAGGAGGCTTTAATCCGATCGGCGGCGCGCGGGGGCGCAGCTGACAGCGGTGCCCGCTGAAAAATTAAAAGGCATTTAGCTATCAGCTTGTCGGACGAGGCCGCAAATCCGCGCAAGACGGGCGCTGGCTTTTTTGCCCGCGCGGTCGCCCGAGCGGAGGCGCAAAACCCCGACGGCCGGCCGGGGCGGCGGGTTCGCTCGGGCGGGGCGCGCGGACAAGAAGCGGACCTATTTATATATATCGGCCGGGGCTTTCGGCCACGTCCGCCGCGCGCGACCGGCAGGGATGATTGCGCGCGGGCTGCTCGGCAAAAAGCCGCGGCGGACCGGGCGTCGCGTGCTCGGCGCGGCCAGCTCGCTCGCCGGCTGGGCTGCTTCTTGCCCGAGTTATATCGCGCGCGCGCGCGCGCCTCGCGCATAATGCCGGCCGCGCTTCGCGTTTTAATCGATCTGCACCCTCCGGGAGCTGCCGGCTGCCGTGACGCGTGGGCGCCGATTTTCCCGTCAAGGCCGACGTGGACCCGAGGCGGCAGTCGCGTTGCGCCTTTCCCAGGCCAGTCATATCTCACGCCAGCCGAGAACTTCCGGGTAACGTTGAACGCCCTCGCGGGTAGAGTGCATTAACATTCCCTTTGACAAAAAGCGCGATGCCATTTGAGCGCAGCCCGATAACGTCTCGCGCGAGCGCGGCGGTACTCGCAACGCCGCTGCCGCCGCCGCCGCCGCCGCGCGCGCAAGAACGAATATAATTTCGAGACGGGCTTTAATTATCTCGAGAGCGAGGAGAGAAAATGCAGCCGTGACGAAGTCATCGAATCGCTCGGTCGACCGTACTTCCCTCCCGCATTGTGATTCTTATCCCAAGGACTCGTCCGCGCGGTAGTTCTTTGTGCCTTGCAGACCACTCGGACGCGTCGATAATCGCGCTCCTACGGCTTCGTCCGGAGCGTCTGGCTTATCGATTTTTCATTTGGCGCAATTGGTCTCGTGCTACTTTCGGCGCGGCTCCGCTCGGAGCCGGACGATGAAAATACTTTTAGATCGATCGTCAATCAAGTGGCGACGGAGGGCGCAATTCTGGCTGCTCCTCGAGCCGCGAGGATCCGTGCCGAGGAATGTTTTCATCGCGCCGGCAGCGCTATCCTCGCGGCCGAAAGCTCCGTCCGAGCGCAAAAAATTGCCGGCGAGCCCCGCGCCGCGCGGAAACAAAAGCATCTCCGATCCGAAATCTCGCGCCGATCGCGCATTTGCCTCACGTACAAATACAAAAAGCGGCCTAATCGTGCATCGAGCGCACGCGCGCGCGCGAATTTTCGAACACACAATCGCGGCGAGACGGGCGGGGGGCGGAGGGAGCGGCAGGCGGAGGCTCGGGGTCGGGGAGAAGGGACAGAGCGCTTGGCTCCGCAACGTCGGAAACTGCGAGGCGCGCGCTCGCAAAAAGCGCACCAGACAGCGCCGGTCCGTTTTTGCTCGAAGCGTCAGCCGAGCGATCGCTCAGAGAGAGAGAGAGAGAGAGAGAGAGAGAGAGAGAGAGAGAAGCCCGCTCGCGCTGCTCCTCCTCCCCGAGCTCATGCCGCTGCTTTTTGTCTCTCCGCAAGCGCGCGCGGCGCAAGGCTTATTCTCTGCCGCGCTGCAGCCTCTTTTTTGTCTCTCGCGCGCGCAGTGTTGCTCGCCTTCTTTCGCGCGCCGAAGAGAGTTCAACAATTTCCTCTTGCCTCCCGCCCTGCACATACAAGCTCGCTGCTCCCCGTGTATCGCTTTTCGTTCTCGTTGTTGCTGCCGCTCGTACTTGCCGCCTGGCTTTGACTGCCCCCCCCCCCCCCCCGCAAGCTAATTACTTTCGAGGACGCGTTGCGCCTGTCGTCGCCCATACGAAACTTCGCGCGCTATACAGCAGGCGGACGCTTTTGCGGAAAGACGAACGCGCGACGGCCGGCGGATAACCCATTTCGCAAAATTAGACGCAGTCGCCTCGACTCGACTCCTCAAGGACGATATCAAGTCTTATTTATGCTTCGGTAAATTGACAGCAGCGACCGTCCAGTGTAACTCCAGCTCCGACTCTCCGAGCACTCCTCTGAAAGCGCAAACAGGCCAGTCATTACTGCCAAATAATCATTTTCTCCTTCGAGTGCTGTTTTTCGACAAAGCCGATGTATCTCGAAACGGATTGGCGAACGGAAAGGAAAAAAATTGCAAAAAAAAGAAAAAAAAGGAAAAAACGACAAAGCGCGAGAGGCAAAGACGCGAGGCTCGTAAAATTCAAATTGGCCGCCGCGAGCGCAAGTATGGGGATCAAGCTCGGGGCTGGTAATTAGTTAAAGGGCATCAACCCCCGCAGGTTTTTGCGTTGGCGGCGCTATATAGCGTAGGCGCGTTAGATAAGAAAAGCGTCGCGTCGTCGAGGCTATATGCGCCAAAAGACGCTTTGGCCCTTGACAGCCCAGCTGACTAATGGTGTTCCTTCTCTGGCTGTGCGCGCGCGCGCGCGTGCTTTTGCGATGCCGGCCCCCGCAGGCGACTCTCTAACCCAAAGCCTTGACTTATATACTATCTCGGAGGGGCGTCGCCACTAACGAAACGAACAAATGAGTTTTCGAGCGTGACCACGATCGCCGATGAGATCGGCCGCCGCTCTAAACACGATGCGAATCTACTAATGGCCCCGCGCGCCGCCAGCCTCGCGCTTGATTGCCTTTTGTGCCTCTGACTCATTGCTCGCGAACCCCTTTGCTCGCGCGAAATCTTGCGTCTCGATTGCCGGACGGCCGTCTTTCCGGTTCGCGTGTGCCAACGCTCGCGATAATGCGCTGCAAAACAATTTCGCCCCTTTACACCGATGCGATGCTCGTGGTTTCGGATACGAACCAGCCGGTATTTCTCACTTTCAGCAACGATCTATCTTCGGGCAAGCGTGCCTTTTTCCTGCTAGTGATTCCTGCCGCATTGAACTGGAATAACGAGAGTCTCGCGTTGCGTCGTATTCGTTGTGTTGCAATGAAAACTGGCAATAATCCGTCGAGTCAATAACGAGTGAAAATATTCGTGTACTCGCGCGACAGACGCGGGCGCGCCGTGCAAGTAAAGTATTCGAAAAAAATGGCAAACAAACGAGAGAGCGGATATATAACAAGCCTCATAATTTCCGGCATGTACTCTGAAACCTTTTATTCGCCTATTAAAAGCCTCCGAGCGGGCGCGAGCAAGCAAGCAAGCAAGCGTTCGGGGCGCCCGAGGGGGTGGAAACAAAGCTCGGCCCGACAAAAAAGGAGAGGAAGACGCGGCGAAAAGGGGGAAAAAAAAATAAATAAATAAAGCGAAGCAAGCGCGCGGGCAGCCGGGACTGTCGGGCCGCGCGCTCTCGCGTTTTCTCGCGAAAATTTTACGTAATCCGGCGGCGGCGGTGGCGGCCGCGAGAGCGTTTATTTGCAGAGAGCAAACGAGCGCGCACGAAAAAAGCACGGAGTAGTCGGGCGCTGCAAGGCAGAACGCGGCCGATCGTTAACGCTCGCTCGGTCGGCCGACGATCGGCCTTCCCTCTTGCCCGTTAAATTTCGCCGAGCGAACGCTCGCCGTTTACGGCGCACTCGGCAAAGGCGCGAACAAGTCTATCGGCATGCGCGCGCGCTCTTCTCTCCCGTTGGACGGACGAGCGACAACGGCTCGTCGACGCGCGCTCGACGCCAGCGGGAGCGGGATTAAGCAATCGAAGCTAATTGCCTCGTTTTTCGTTTGTTGCAGCAAGCAAGCCGTTTTCGATGGGAAGAAAGCAATTAGAGGGGGAATACCATTTGTCTTCCGTAAGTATCCTCAAACTCTCGATCTACTCTCGCTCTGAATTTTGAAATGACGTATCGCTATTCGCCAGCTGCCGTTGCAACAAGCCACGCTCAATTGATGACAGATCTATTTACAGCGCAATTCGGAGCATGGTCGTACGGGCCGGGCCACGGCTTCGCCAGGATAGTGCGCTGGAACGTGGAGAAGTCGCCGGAGCGACTGCCGACCGGCGACGTCGAGGCCATCTTCTCCCTCATGGACAACGAGTTCACGCGCTCGATATGGAATTACCCGTTCAGGCTCACCTACAGGCTAATACTTCGCGAGAAGGAGCTGCACTTCAACATCGGCGTCTACAATCCCAGCAAGGAGCACACGTTCAGCTTCAACCTGCTGCTGCACACCTACTTCAAAGTGCCCGACGTCAGGAGGTGTCAGATCACCGGTCTCCACGGCTGCACTTTCATCGACAAGGTCGGTACACCACCCTCCTCGGCCCGTGGCGCCGATCCGCGACACGAGCGCGCCGACTGACGAGACCCGTCGCCCTGTTGCAGACGCGAGACAACCAGATCTTCCAAGAAGGCCGAGACGTGGTGACGGTCGGCGAGTGGACGGATCGCATCTATCAGAACACTCAGCCGGAGCACATAATAACGAACGTAGTGTCGGGTCGCAAGATGCGAGTGCAAAAGTACAATTTCCCCGACACAGTCGTGTGGAATCCGTGGCTGGACAAGGCGCGCGACATACCGGACTTTGGCGACGATGAGTTTCCGAACATGATATGCGTGGAGAGCGGACACGTGAGCAGCCCTGTGATATTGCTGCCTGGCACGGCTTTCGAGGCCAGTCAAATTCTACAGGTGATTTTCTTACTGAGACCGCGCTCTAGGCGCTACGATTATCGTTACGAGGTACAATTCAGCTCGCATCCTTACTCCAATTAACCGCTAGGCTATTTGCACCACTAACGAATCTTACGCCCGCGCTGGGCGTCGCGCGCGCGCGCCGATCGCCACTCTGCAATAGCGACGCTTCAGGCAGTCGTAGGGGGAGAGCGAGCAAAACGGAGTACCTGAGGACGATCAGTGATGGCTTGCTTCTGACCCGCGTGCCAATTACATTCTAATCGCGCACTTTTGCTTCTCTTTATGGAAAGTCCTTTCGAAGCTTGGTTTTTTCGACTCTCGAAACTTCTCAATGATTATCACTAAGTTTCTTCAAGTCAGCGATTTCACAACATTAACAATCTCAGACGTCAGTTATTTGGTCTAAGGCGGCATCTCTTTCGATCAACTTTCAAAACTACTTGATTTTGCAAAAATAATGTGAAATTCGTAGTCACCGGCCCAGAAACACTTTGGGAACCGTATGTAACTTGCACATTGAATATAAATTAGTAAATATTTCTCAAACAATTGTTTTGTTTTTGTTGAAGTACCCCACTTTGATTTTATACATGTTTAATATTCAAGTAGATACGCTCGACGAAGATGTGTAACGGGTGTTTTTCGAAACCGCACGGCGTACCGACAGTCGGATATTTTCTTCTCGTTGCGTTTACGTCCAATAACAAATCTGAAATTCAGTAACTGGGGATGTCAGACGGAGGTAATTCCTTGTTCAATCTGTCGGACCGAACTTACTTTTGCATATTAACGAAATGGGAAGCGGTACCGCGACGCGAACATGTATCCAATGAAAAATATCGCAAGATACTCCGCTTTGCGCACTCTTTCCTCAAAGGACGCAAGAGCTTAGATAAAAAAAAAACGAAAGGAAAGACAGGAATGAACGCTTCGCAGGTGATGTGAGTGGAGGGTGGCGGAGGATCCTCGCAAGCCAGCGGCAGCCAGGCGAGTCGAGGAGGCGGTGGCGGTGGAAGTATCGGAGTAATAGGCGGCAGCGGCAACGAGACTGCAGTGACGAACAGCAACGCTGCAGCGGCGGCGGCGGCGGCGGCGGCAGCGATGCTGCAGCAGCAGGTCTCCGCCGGTAGCGGCGGTGCTGTCCATCATCATCACCATCAGGCGGCGGCGGCGGCGGCCATGTGGCCAAGCGCAGGCGCCGCCGCTGCTGCTGCTGCGACCGCCGGCTGGCTTTACACACCGAGTCCCGCTCACCCACATCACCACCATCATCATCATCATCACATGCACTGCGTCGCTCAGAGCTGCACCATTTGCTCGCTCAATCTCTAAGCCCGTCTGTCCAATGCTGATTCTCTTTACCTTCACCTGCATTACTCTTTTGCTTTTCCTTCGAAACGTCGGCTTCCAGCTCTCGTTGTTCGCTTTCTTTTTTACAAGAGGTTGATCGGGTAAAGCTGACGGATGTTATGAGTGGTATATGTAACCTTCCGCGTGTTCGCATTGTTGATTTCGTGAATTATTAATTTCATCGTCTCGAGGTTTCGGGAAATTTAAGTCACGGGCAAAACTATCACTTCGATAGACCTTTCTTCCGCGCTGACTTATGCAAACTTATTGTCTTTGTAAAACTCAAAGCTGTCTCTAATCGAGTAATGCTATTGCATATTTCATTCTCGGTTTTTTCTCTTGTTGAACGTGACTTTTCGTCTTCGATTATTATGCATTACAAATTTCGCATTTTCAAAGTCGTATACGTACTAATTTAGCATATAATTATCGTATATCTGTAAGTATCGACAAATGATCGACAAATGATAAAGTATGACAATTTGTAATATATGATGTAGGTCGGGCGAAAATACACGTGTACTTTTTGAACGATTCACACTTGTTTCCTTAATGTTGACAAACTATTTTATGTATAAAACATTCCTGGGAACAACTCGTGTGAACGAGATTGTATTTTAATCACCGAGGTGACAGATTCATTTCTTAAATAAATAAAATATATATACGTACTATTAGTATATTATAAATGCTCGATGTTTCATCAATGAAGTCGAGTAAAACGATTAAAAATTTACTAGATGTCTATTAGTTTGGTAGATTTTTATCATCATTTAGATTTAACTCCTACTGTAAACACGTTCCTCATCAGTGGAAACCAAGTTTTTTCATAAGAATGGTATATTAATATGATGTTGGTGCTATGATTCTACACAAGTTCCACAATTAATGCTACTTTAAACAAACTCAATGTTCCCTTTTACAATAAAATGAGTGAACAGGTTGAGCAAAACTGAATTGAAATACGTCCTGCCAAAATTCTAGTATATTTACAGAAAAAAAATTTTTAATTATGTCTATAAAACGAATATTGTTCCATTATGGCAAATCATCGAACTATATATAAGCAATAATAAAACTTAATATCGATATATACAATAAACGGAAGTGTATTTGTATGAGTGTTTGAAATCGATAATGAAATTTATATATATACTGAAATGAAAATAATAAGTCAAGTGTTTAATATACAGTTATATGCATATTTTCTACAACCTTTCAATTTCCAAAACATCCCAATTGGACACTATTTCCAAATACAATTGCATTGATAAAACAATATTATTAAAAAATATACTACAAATAAACTATTTTCAATGACTGATACTTAAGGAATAAAAATAAAGTCTCAAGATTTATATTAAAATGTTAACGATTCATAGATTTATTGTAAAGTGAGGTTAATAACTAAATATAACATCTTGCACTCATATCAGACTTCACAAAATTAGTTACAAGTCCATACAATCAAATTTTTACGTTTACAAGTCCTCAAACTCATTAATAAGATACACTCATCATGCTTTCAACACATTTCTTACATATTAAAGTACTTTATGAACCAATATTCATTGGCATCTAGACAAGTGTTTTATTCACAGTATTTAATAATTATTTTATCGTAGTTATATATAATCTTATTGAACACTTGTCATGTCTTATGTAGATTATAAAACTAAATCATATTGAAATAAAAATGATCAATTATTTGATAAATCTCACTTACTTTTTTAAATTTACAAAGCTGCTCTGAAGAATATTACTGATACAGAAAATAAGTTATTGACATTATTTTTCTCATTGAATTTTTCAATGACATAATTTACAATATGTATAACTTCAAATTATTTTACTGCTTGTGCTGTGCCACCTTGTTGCTTTTTTAATTGTTTTTCTCTCATACGTTCAGCATCTCTGAAAAATAAATAAAGCAACATTTAGAGTGATTGTCAGTAAAAAATTAAAAACTTTATAGATGAATATGTAATATTATGTATAACCTCTGCTTTCTTTGTTCCAGAGTTAATCCTTTGTTGCTCTCCTGTTCTGAAGCTGGTTTACTGCTATTTTTTTTCATATTTTTTGCTCGAGCAAGCTCACGTTGATTTCCACCTATTTAGTAAATCATTGAAAATAGAAAACCATTGAGAATAGAAAACCATAGAAAATGATTATTATAAAACTATTGCCATAATTTTTAGTTTGGTATTTGAATTATTTGATTCATTGAAGATTTATTTAGTAAAACATAAGAGCTTTCTGAATTAGAATTCTTAATATTATTAATTACTTATTTTAACTTTTTGTACCAATTACTGAATGAAATCATTGGACCTGATTCAACAACAAATGCTTGCCAATTATGCAGTACTACAAAGTGTCAATAACCTAATTAAGCAGACTTTCTGTTTGCTTATTCTATATTAATGATTTCGAATTAATGAATATTAATATAATATATTTAATGATATATTAAATAATTGAAGTCATTAGAATATGCAAGGTTATTATCACAAAAAGTTGAATAACATACAACATAGTATATTTTGGATCTAGTGAATAGCCAGCTATATGGATAATTATACCACGCTATTTAACATTTGGAATTTGACATTTTGCAACCTGGACCGCAAATTATAACTAAATATACAACTGTAGCTACAGTATCACGCTTCAATTTACACTCATTACACCGCGAGGCTACAAAACAAAGTGAAATTTCGCCATCGTCAAAACAAGAGGAAGAGATAGATGTCCCAATCAACGCGTCCATATTAAATGAAAGAAGAGCAAGAGACGAAGATTTTTCTGGAAGCCTATTTACTTTCTCATGATGCTCCCGGGTGTCAAATTTCCGTGAGTCGCCACGTAACATAAAAACAAGGAAGTCGATGACATGAGCAGACAGGTGCTTGCGATAAGTTGTCAACATTCTGGAGAAAATATCTTTGATAAATGAAATTAAAAACATGAAAGAGATCCAATATAAACAGATATAGACAGCGGTTCCGCAGTCCCAAGAAAAAAATATGGAGGCCAATACAAACAAGCGTTGAAATTTATTGGAATTTCCGTTGTTCGATCAGTCAATAATTTCATAACTTTTCTCGCTACAAAAACTAGTCCAAAATTATCGCAAAAACAAGCAATAAGTAGCTGCAAGTGTTGTAACTCTGACTTGTAAACAAAAAGACTCCTCAACGCAAGATTCTAATAAACTATCAAGTACAAAACTATAAGACTAAAGAGTACCCGCGTATTTCAAAGATGACGTCGTAACAATTGCTAACAAAGTAGAACAAAAACAAAAGTACTTACGAGTCATGATCTTTAAGTCTTGATCTCCGATAAACAAGAACTCGTGAAAGCTGACCTACAGAAATGGCGCTCGACTCTGTACAGCAGACTCTAAAAACAGTACACAAGATGAGTACCTCTCAGCAAGGAACAGTAGCACCAGCAGGATGACTAGTCGGCGATAATCGTGGAAATCGGCGTCGAATGAGTGCTCGAAGCAAATAAAAAAAAATAATAATCGATGCGAGAAATCCGCGATCACAGCCGTAATATACGCCAGCCGCTGGCACGCACTCGTGTGTCCCTGCTGATCCACTAGTGGAGAGGTTCGTTTATATATATTCGGTTCACTATATTTTGCTTACCCGCCGTTGGCGCTGCTGATTGCATATTCACTTGAAAGGAAACTGACTTAGCAACATAATCGCAAGAATTTTTTCAAATACCGTTGGTAAATATTGATAATGAAATTATGAAATTGTTTGATACATTACGATATTATTTACAAAAATGTAGCGTGCAGCTTAGATTATTTATGAGAAATCAGGATTCAGAAAGGTATTGTAAAAAACAATCGTGTTAATTTCATATAAAACAATTTAATGAAAGTTGTATAAACAAAACTAAATAATCGTTGCAACGTGTATAATTACATTTTTTGGATGGAACAAAATATATTGACAGTAATTTATAAATTTAATGTCGCTAATGAGTCCGAGAGACATTTTAAAATATATTTATCTGTAAATGCCTTATGCTGCTAAAACATTCTTTCTGTTAAAAACGGACACAGATCATCAATGATGCATTATCGTTACGGAAGAACATAAAAAATGGATTCACACGTATTAAGTCACTCATTCGGCAATTATAATAATTTCTGATACCATTCCTATAAAAAAGAGTTTATACGCTCTCGAAAAATAGTACCCTTCGTTTTAGCCTGTGGCATTGGCCATTGCCACTGATGTTCATCGCTTGAACATTTAATTGAGAAAACACAGCTTTATGAGGAATGGCCGTTCTAGCGATTTCACATGACGGATAGAACTTGAAACACTAAAACGACATCCGTTGAGACGTAGACTGCTTTTATTGCTTATTCAGCAACATGGAGTATCATATGAACTGTTTCATAATGAGAAATAAAAATATTGACGGAAACAAGATTTCAAAGAAATGCACAAAGTTATATGAACGGAAAAATGGTAAAAAATTATTAGAAAGCCAGCTTGAGCTTCATTAAAGCAGTCACGTTTCAAGATAAGGGAAGAAATGACGTCTATCCATTATTTTACAACTCGTCTTGTGGTGCCTTGGTTGGGGTGCCGGTGCGGTCATATCCCTTCAGTGGTTTGGAGGAATGCTTGGCAATATACTTGATGAAGTCATCAAGCTCACGGCCACCTTCGTATTTAACTGGACTATCCTTCTTGTCCTTTAGTACCCAGAAGAGAGTAGGAAATCCTCGGACCTCGAAATTCGACGGTACGTCATTTGCTGTAGCATCGAATTTAACAATCTCTACATCCTCATCAGCCATTTTGTCACCTGAAAAAGAAAATTACTAGTATTAGTGTGTCGGTTCTTTCCTAAAATCTCTATATTAACCTATTATTATTATGAAAATATTTAAATCAACGCAAAAATCATTTCGAACATTTTCAATATATTTGTGACGGGCAAAGCGACCGTTGAGTTCGCTCGTCCTGTTCGCCTCTCCTTCTCTCTAAAGCGTGCCTTCCCCTGAGCCGCTGCCACATCGGTCTCGGTTGATTAAAGCCGAGTATCGACGCACGATGTGGCTTTGTTGCAGGTTTGATTCCTGATCGGCGGAGATGCCTGGCGTTGGAGGGATGGCGCGAGAGCGGAGAGCAGAGGAGGAAGAGAGAGTGAAATAGTGTCGCCGGCATGAGTCGCACATGTGTGCGTAGCCAGCGGCGCTCGACCGATTGGGTACCTGTAGGGAGGGGCGCGGGAGACGCCGCGGAAAGCGCGAGATCGCGGTATCAGTATGGCTTTGACCAGCAACGAATTCCGAGCTAGGTAAGCCTCGCGACGAAAAAGTGCGTGACCATTTACTGCTAACGAGTGTATAGCATTGAAGAGGAAAACCAGCTGCGTCTACTTAGATAACCACCCTTTCGAGGACTACGTAGTTGGCCCAGCGGACGTGGACTTCCACAGCAGCGTTTCCTCCTAAGGTCAGGTACCCTTTTTCATTTCTCGGTGCGCGCCTCGATTTCTCTCTGAGCATCGTATCGACCAGACGCGGACGAGTGGCTGCGTGCGTGAATTCGCACCGCACTCGCGTGAACTCGCGGGAAAGTTGTAAGACGATGTCCTGTCTCCCGTGCGTTAATTCACACGGAACGAATTAGCCCGGATTGGGCCGACACACATGTCGAACGCCGCATGTAAAAAAAAAGGGAGTTGTAATAAAATGTAAATAATTATTTGAAAGGATGAGTTTCTTTGTACAACCTGTCTCTCTTGTAATTAGGTAAACCGCGATTATTGACACTACCGGACGACATAAGACCTCGTTGATTTTCCGCGACGAAGCGAATACGCCTTCCGAGTCCCTCCCCTTAAAATAATTTGTGACGCAACGTTGTTCGGGCTTATTTTCCACGTGGGATTCAAAATTACTAACGTACGTGTTACATATTAACTATAATCTAGTATAAATATTTTTCTTTAGATCAACGAAACTTTAGATATTCCTGGATATTTCTATATAGTTCTATATAGTTTCTATAAAGTTATAAATGCCATCTTATGAATTTATTTTAATAAATTTCTTACCCAGTTCATCATAAATTGGAGCAAGCTTCTTGCAATGTCCGCACCATGGAGCATAAAATTCAATCAGAATGTCTTTGGGGTTGTTGGTGACGATCTCATCGAAGTTCTTGGCAACAGCGATTTTAACACTACCAGTATTATCCTCTGGAATGGGTTCAGACTTTTGGTAGGGTTCCAACGAACCGGATTGCAAATCATTCAAGAAAGTCTCGAAACTTTCCAGGCTGAATTCGTCTTGAAGAACGAACTTCTGGTTACGTTCGTCGCGAGCAAGGATGACGGGTTTGTCTCCTTTGTAGAAGTCGATACCGAACTCTTTGAGTTCGTGTTGGAAATCGTCTTTGGAGGAAATGGCGAAGTTATACTCAGCAAACTCCTTGGCAACCTTCATAATACGGTTACGCCAGTAGTTGGTACCCTTAGGATTCTTTACATAGTCAACGTTGTAGTAAGCGACGATCAAGGGGTTTTTGAAATCTTCAGCATTGTCGCGTGTGCGTACGCCAACCAAGCCATGACTAAAAAGTGAATTTCCTTTCAATTTAGTACATACTTAGTTCATACTTAGCTAACGTTGTAAGTTAGAATTCTTATTTATGAAAGGAAAAAATATGAACAAACTTGTTTTGTTAATAAGCTTAAAATACTCACTGCGTATTCTTAACGAATGAATGTACTTCAGAAACAGAGTCTCCACCTTCATATACAACCTTGCTAGTTTCAAATTTATTTTGGAGTATGTTAGGTCTGTAGAGGACAATGTTGTTTCTGGAATAATATTTATTTATTAATTGTGTTATTCTAAGTATTTAATTTGGAGATCTACTGTAATTATAGTTGTAATTGTATATTTAATCTGAATGTAATAAAATAATAATGTAAAAGAGATTATTAAAATTTATAAAAAATATACTCACTTGTATCCTTCCTTTTCTAGAATTGACTTTTCGATGACATGACCAAATTTAACCTTGTCTTTCAACTTTTTAGCAACAGTATGGAATGAAGCAGAAAGAGTAGAATCATCTTTTTCAAAGAATCCAATAAGGACGACTTCGTCAGTGTTCAAGAATGCTTTCAATTCGTCCACAGATTTTAATTCAGTAGAGGGTGGACCAACTTGAGCCTAAAATATTAAAATAATATATATTAAAAATTTTTGAGTAATAAACAATATTATTAATTTATCAAGTGCATAGTAATGAATATAAATATTCTTCGCTTGAAAATACAATATCCAGAATGATTTATTTACCTTCATGTATTTAGCAATACCAGCTGCTTCTCTAGGGCCATTGTAATCATCAATTAGCTCATCTTTGGCAAAGATTTTCAGTGTTGGATATCCACTAACAGAGTACTTGTTACATGTCTCTTTACCAGCCTCAGTACAGTCAACTTTGGCAAGGCTGATTGGTGGAACGTTACCTCTCAAAAGTTCTGCAGCTTTGGCATATTCTGGTTTCAGTCGTTTACAATGACCACACCTATAAGAAAAAGATGAAACAAGCATGAATTATCTTGCAAGTAATTTTCAAAACATATTAATTAGTATTACAGTAAATAATGTGTTGTGACAATATAAAATATTTTCTTCATATACAATGTCAAATTATTTGAGATCAGATTTAATCACAATAAAAGTACATAAATCATAAAATTACTAAAAGATTTGATTTAGTTAATTACTTTAGAATAAACAAATGATTAAAATATATTTAGATTCGCGAAGGTGAATAGAATTTTCAATGTTCGCAGAACATATCAAGTGCGTGGACGACCAAATTCAGACAACGAAATTTCCATTACAATGGCAAAATTATTTTAATTTGTATAAAGCGTAGGATTTTTGATGAATCGACAATTTCTAAGAATTATACAATTAACAAATTTTATCTTAACAATTTACAAATTTGATAAATTTTAAGTGACAGGCGTTGAGCATACTTCGCAGAAAATTAAGCAAGAGAGTACTGCAGATGCACGAGAATCGAGTGCCTCATTTTAAATTCCCATCGACTAATCGCGAAAACTGATCTATTTCCGACAGAAAGTAAATGTATAAAAAATAGAGGAGGTAATGAAAACCGACCAAGGTGCGTAAAACATGACAAGCGTGTTGTCATGGCGCTTGAGCTCCTCAACGAAGTCGCCGTCGGTCCACTCAAAGACATCCTCCTCGGCGGCTAGAGTACTGGCCACCACGAAAAGTCCCAGAAAGAGACACTTGCCAATCATGGTTACAGTCATTTTTCCGTACAATAAACAACAACAGTTAGCGAATTCACTTTTCAATTACGACTCCGACTAGCAAAGATTCACGTCGACTAAGTGCCAGAGAAAAGACTTTGTCGACTAGCACTCCAAACCGGCGTAGACGTGGCCCTCGTCCCGCGGTGACTTTTTCTTGGCGTTCGTGTAGCTTGTCGTCTCTTTCTCGCCCACTGCGTTACGGGTAGCACTTGTCTTTGCTAGCGAAGCTTTGAAAATGTGTGAGTGTGTGCGCATTGGCAGCAGTGGCACCGCTCTTGCGGCTTTGAGTGCTGTCGCTACGCGATTGGTTGTTCAAGGCCGGTGTATCCTTTTTAATTGTTACGCAGCAACAACGTAACCAGCGGAATATATTTCTTTCTCTTGCTTTTACCAGCAATGTTAGTATTTTATACATTGTCGAACTGCGTGGACTATTCTTAAAGATACACACGAACTAATAGCAGCACATGAAAGGAGTCTTGTTTTTACGGTGGATGAATACACAGACGTTTTATAGGGCTTGCTTGTCGTATTCAAATATTTGTGCCTTCGTCCTAGAATAAGGCGCTTATTTACGAGTCCTTCAAACGCAGCATCATTCGTTTTAGTGAAAAATATCGTAGACAGATCCGTTGCATATAACTTTATTTTTTTATGTATGTAACCAAATTTTTATAAATAAATAGTTGTCATAAACGTACCAGATACTATTATAAAATGATTGATCAATAGTATTAAACCTTATCGGCATTTACATCTATGAAAGAAAGTGAACTATTTGGAATTCGAAAAACAAACAAAATGGTCTGTCTATTATCAATAAAATATTGCTATTACTTACAATATGGTTGTTTTGAAGTTTACTCTTATAACAATTAATTCCCCTTGAAACTGCAAATTCATTTTGTCAAATTATAAATTGTTTGGATAATGCATTTGCGTATTATGTCAAAAATGTTAATTCAATACACATTATATTCATCTTTATCAGTTTTAAAACATATGAAAGTATTAAATGGCCCTATTTTTATGTTATGTTAGGTAATTCTTGTTATCAAGTGCAATGCTTTTGTTTGCAAATATTGAAACGTGAAGTTATTAATTTTTAACCTTTTCTCAAGAACTTCCCTGCTAGCATAATTTCTGACAATATTTTATTAAGAGCTAAATTTAAAATCAGCTAACCTCGATCATTGAATGATGTGTCGAGCAAGTAGAATTCTGTTTTTTTCTGTTATCTCATTTAGTTCATTGTGCTATAAATCGAAAATCATTATTATAGAACTCTTATTGGCATTTAATTTATCTGTTGCCATGATTAAAATAATCATGAAAAATCGGATGTGAATACGATTTCCAGGAATACAAAAAATTAAAATTGCTATCGGTAGATAATAAAGAGCGCTCCCAGGCTTCAATTTACGCGTGAGTCAGTTTGATCTTCGACTTGTAGATCGCAGCAGCAACTGACACAATGACCTTTTTTTAAAAGTTTATTTACGAAATTGTCAATTGAATAATTAATTAATGCAGATTTTATTGTGAAATTAGTGCAGAGCATATCATAACAAATTTGAACTTGATTATATTTTGTTTTGAAAAATTGTAATCTAAAAAAGGTTTTAAATAAATGTTATTTATTCAACGATATAGGTTTTTTCCCAACCATCTATGATTTCAGTCAGTATACTAAAACATTCAAACAATAGTTACTGTAATAATTCACAAAGTAAGCATCTGCAGTACACATTAATTTGGTCACACCATTGATATTTAAAAATTTTCTATTTGTGTTACAATGCCAACTACAATAAAATAAAATCTAATCAACACTTTGATGTATTTTATCCAAAAACGTGAAATTTGTAGATTACTTATAAATAAAAAAAAATACTTTATACCTACTCTGAAGCAAACTTGGTGTTTGGTTAATAAAATTTAAATGCAGCTATCGCAATGCATTTAAGTTCCAAAAATGTGTAATGTTTGCCAACAATTTGCTTTTCTACTGACACAGCTTACTGACAATTGCCTAATCGTCGTTGATTTTACTTCTTTTGAATTTCATATTTTAACGTACCACTACACAGAATAATGAACACGAATAATGATGTGGGTATGTTGATATGGCGTGTGTCCATGTGTGTATCCGTCTTTGTGTGTATGCGTAGTACCAGTGCCAAACCTGCTAAGCAGATGTGAACAAAAAGCATACATGCTCTGTTCCTGCTTCAAAACGAAAACCATACCAACTGGCTACGTGAAAGCTCGTAAACACTTGACACTCGCCCTGCCTATCCCCCAAAATGATGCCGAGTATCGACGTATATTAGCAATTGCACTATTTGACGTTTGTGCTCTCGTGGTAAACGTTGATGCTGTCAAACTTATTTTACTGATAACCGAAATCGATATGTAAACTCAAAGCAAAACGTTTTGTTGTGGTTAAAGAAAAGGCCAATCCCTAAGAAATTAAGAAATCGTGTCACTAAGCATGCGTAACTTCGCGCCGTACTTTGGCAAAGGTATCGCTGCATTCGATGAAATCGAAACTTGCCGGTTTCGTTTCGCCATTTGCCGAAATATATTTTTGGCTCGATACTGCCCGTCAACACTGGGCAAGAGTGCAACCGCAGAGCTGCACATACATTAACTGAGGAAACACACACGTACACGGGCGAGAGAGAGAGAGAGAGAGAGAGAGAGAGAGAGAGAGAGAGAGAGAGCACAATGGCGGCCGCGAAACGCCCAAGATTAACGATCTCCCCGAGCTTTCACGAGTATTAGCGGAGGGGAGGCTCTGGAGAGCGCGCAACCCCTTTCGCCAAGCTCTTTTTGTTCGAATCCGCGTACGGAATTCGCTCGAGTCGTGCAATGCACGCCAAGAGAGAGAGAGAGAGAGAGAGAGAGAGCAGCTTGTTACACATCGCGTTACGTGCATGCGAGCCACAGCAGGGACTTTGTCGTTATACGCGCGAGGTTTTACGAGCTTCGCGATGGCGCTGAAATGTGCACCCTAGGCCAGCCGGAGGATGTGTAGCAGCTATTACGCGCTCACCTATACGTGCCTGTGTATTTTTTTCTTTTTTAAAGAGATTGATTGTGCTCGAGCAACTCGCGTGCTCCGCCGTCGTTTCTGCACTAGGCGAGCGCCTTTTTTTTTACGAGCCCCAGTCGTTTCGTTTATGGCTACTGCTGCTGCTGCTGCTGCTGCTGCTGCTGCTGCCCTATGTACCTTCTCGAATAAACATATCTTGTTAGCTGTATTTTTCCGTGGCCGTTCGGCAGATTCTCCGGCACTCGTGTCGCTCCTCCGTTTCCGACGCGCACGCTTGTCACAGAGCCAAAGTCGACGGCTGCAATTGCGCGATTCGCGTGCGATAAATGCCGCGCGCGCGTCGCGTGCCGATCGACGCGCCAACTTTCAGCGACACTTTCCCGATGGCCACGCCGAAGTGGCATTAACGCGAAGAAGCGCACGCTCCGACCGAGGCGCAAGTATATACGAAGCGATGACTCGGCGCTTCTCCGGAGCCGTCGTCCTGCCGCGCGCGCGCCACCGGGGACGCTTATTGGCTGTCTTTCTCACCGAGGCGAGAGAATTAGCGAGGCTGCCACTCACGCGAGCCGCCCCTGCCGCTCGTCTTCTGTCTCTACGTGTTAAACGTATCCCGCGCGCGCGCGCCCGAAGGTCGCTGCACGCCTGCCCCCTCGGCGTCCACGAGGAGCAGTCGGAATCGCGGACGAGGCGCGCTTTCGACTGCGCTTTGCTTTTGCAATCGCTCGAGGCCGATCGATCCGACTCGCGTACACCGAGGCTGGCCGTCAAATAAACTCGATCCATTAATCTTTCCCTCTACGAATTCACTTGCTCGAGCAAGCTCGCGAGCTTGACGGACTTTAATTTCATTCGCCCCCGTAAGCGTCTCATCGGCAAAGCGTCACGCGTCTCACGTTCGAGAGTGCCGCGACAATTATCGCGACGTAGGATCGGGCGAGAGCGCGTAATCCGGAAACGCGCGCTGCGACGTACAAAGTAGAAGAGAGCGGAGATATCTGTTTGCGCGCGGGCCGCGGGCGTAAAAACCTGTAATTACGAGCGAGCGGCGCGATGCCATTAATCTTGCAGCTGCGAGTCGCGCGCGACAACGTCCCTCTCCTTCGATGCCGTATTTTCCGTCGTCTTTTTCCTCGCGCCCGCATAGCACGAGTTCACGCTCTACGCGCGATAATTAATGATCCCAAAGCGATCTCTCTCTCTCTCTCTCTCTCTCTCTCTCTCTCTCTCTCTCTCTCTCTCTCTCTCTCTCACTCTGTCTCGTTCTCGAGTGCGCGCGAACCTAGGGATGCTTGCCTGTGTAGCCCCCCGGTGAAGAGAGAGAGAGAGAAGACTGTCTAATTTTGGGGCAATCTCTCTTCGTCTCGCGGAACCGCTCTTTGACTCTTCTTACCCATTTGATGCCCCCGAGCAGCCAACGACTGCGAGACTGATGTTTTCGGCTGCTCGATTAATTTTGACTGTTTGCGCGCGTGCTACTTTACGAGCTTTGCCTGTTGCGCTTGTTTATCGACCGACTGATCCACGGCGGCGCGTTGATTTAGATGCAGCTGTTTGCCTTATTTGAAGCACTCGACAGGCCGAGGAAAGCTGATTTGTGGACTTCACCTTTCGAATTGACGCGTGAAATAAGGACAGCGAGAAATAATTTAAAACCGAAAGATCTTTCAACCTGAGCTTGCCAACTCGAACGCTTTCGAGGCAAACGCAAGCTCTAATTTCCCTTTGAAAACGATTATGAAGCTTCATTCGGATACGTCTACTTTTTGAGTAGTGCTATTATGCTAATTACAAGCTTTCCCGTGCATTGCATCATTGCACGCGTAAATCACAAGTTAAACGTAATTTATTCATTGAAAATCTAAAACCAAGACAACAAGTATTATAGCGTTCAACGAAGAAGACTATATTAAAAAGCTCTTTATGCCAGAGACTGCAAGGAACACAGTTTCTCTTACAATTCTACCGAAACAAGTTTCCTTTGAAAAAAAACTACTTGACCGCGTTTCATTTCCCAAACAAAAGCCTCGCAAACGAAAAATCTAAGGTCGTTCGTATGTGTTCGCGCACACGAAAATAATGGCGCAAGCATTCAGAGGACTACTAGTAGAATGGATAATGACAAGGTGTAGAAA